TGTATTACCCGCGTGAAATTTTTTTTTTTTTTGTGAAAGAACAGGGAAAGGTGTAGGAGGAAGAAGTTTCATACTTCTTTTCGTGGGATTTGTAATCGATTATATAAGCCAATATTTTAAAATATGTACACTCGTGACATACACGATACATGTCCTTTTTACGTAATATTTATATTCAGACTTTTTATTTCATAGTCAAAGAAGGATTGATCTTTGATATCAATCAAATAAAAGTAGACAATCGTAACGAAGATTACGATTCTTTAAGTAAAATCTGAAAATCTATTTTTGAAAAAATTTTCAAACTAGGAATAAACTTCTCTACTTATCTTTTATAAACGACCAAATGGAATCACTTTTTACATCGCTTTTCATGATCCCGTTTAAACGCATGGTTGAAAAAGAAGAAACGATTCATATTTCGAAGGTGGGACAGAGAAGGGAGGAAAATGTTAGAGAAGGAAAAAGAGGGGAAAAATGGGCGAAGAGCGGTTTGGTGAGGCGAGGCGCGGGAACGGGCACACTTGAAAATAGAATGGAGTGCTCGAAACTCTTCAAGGCCTCGGGCAGGAGGCCGAGAAGAGGCCGGCGGATTTTCGTGGCCAGGGCTATGGCATCCGGCATCCGGTTGCTCAATGTTTTTATCGCGTTCGAACGCGTGCGTTCGTACACACAACCGTGTAAACCAGCGAGCAGGACTTTCGCTTTCGAAAGCTGCGCCACTTATATCAATTGACTTTCTTCTCTTCCATCGTCGTTCGTTTTCTGCTCGTTTCCGTCCATCATCGTAAATACCTCCTTCGCGTACCTAGTCGCGTTTCATTTTTTTAACATTCCACTCCGTAAGACGCGAGTCTCCACTCACAACTTTCCAACCGAATTACCGTGATAATTTCCAAGTCGATCGTACGAGGATCAATCGTGGAATAGAATTATCGCGATTTTCGAAACACTTTTTGGATCACTTTCCGCCAAACATGGTCCCCGGCGAACGAACGCCGCGCGATTCTTCTTCTCTCCCTCCTCTCCTCCCCTCCTCCTTCCCTGGGAGAAAACGTACGTACGCGTACGTTTCGAGATAAATCACGTACGTTGGCGTGGCCAACTCGTAATAAATGAAACGTTATAGAGAGCCGGTTGAAAACGGCACAAGAGTCGAAGAAGCAACGAGAAAAGAGATAAAATATGGCCGAACGTTTTCCATTCAGGCTTGAAATCGACGACCTTAGCTACCAGCGTGCACACAATGTTCGTTTGTGATTTCGAGAACGTACGTACTGTAATTTCCGTTTATTTTCAATGACTTTTCTCGTTCGTGTTAAGTTACTACCGGAAATTACCGTATTTCCTAGCTTAGCTGCGATTTTCCCGACATGATTTACCGATATTGTTTCAAACGAATATTTTTAGCGTTTCAATTGTAAATCTTCCAGCGTTGTAAATTATTTCCTTCCTTTTTTCTTTTTCTTCTTCTTCTTCTTTTTTTTTTTTCTTCTCTCTATTAGAAATTTGTACGTATTAAATCTTAAATTCATAAGTAATTTTAATTCTAAGGGACCAATTGAAAATAATTAAACTACTCGTGGTAAAAAAATGGATAAATGTTTTTCAGAAATCAGCGTGTCGAACAGATTACAATTAATCGTATTCATAAATTTGTAGGAATATTCATAGTTTACTATTAAGAGTATCTCTCGATATCGAAAGATCAAATTTTTATATTTGATGTTGCATAAAAATGATACGTGAAAAAAGGAATTGAAGACGTAACCTTGATATCTTTCCTTTACGGTATGTAAATTATAACAACCATACGGAGAATATTGTACGGAGAAGATCGTTTCACGAGGCAAATAGAAATCTCGATGCACGCAATTATGTTGCACGCTGACAGCCTACTCGATCACGTTCTCTGATACATCTTTGGTACTCGGTGCGTACTTATTTCACACGCGCCCCGTAATCTCGATAAAACACCATTTTCAAACGTTCGAAATTATCCGTATAAGTTATATTGCTTCCAATCTGACATTGACTAATCGTTTATCCAATAGACGCCAGTGTTTCCCAATCTTTTCGAATCGACCGATGTATTAAAATTATTGGATGAACATATAGGACGAATATTTTTTTTTTTCTATTTGAAATGATAACATTTCGAATTTATTTTTTAATTCGTAATAAAAAAACGCGATAATAATTATGTAATCATTTTGAACACAATTATCGTTACTTGAATTAACATTTGCATTTATTTATATTTTAAATAGATATTTATTGTTATGAGAAATGAATTTTCAAATATCATTTCGTTTCAACGAAATTGTCTCGATAATTATTTTTAATTTTTTTTTTTTTTTTTATTTGAAGTACGTATACATATAGTATACTGGTGACACATTCGTTTGGGAACCATTGCAATTATAAATCGATGCGGACAAATGGAACATGATTCTCGCGAGAGAATTTAATACATTGCTAGTAGTTTTGATTAAACAGATAATATAAACGATCCTTCTAAATGGAATCTTTGTTTCACAAGGGATAAGTTTGTTCGAATTAATCGATAATGCGATAAAATAAAACGTGATGTTTGACGTGGTACAGTACGTGGTCTGACAATCCAATGTGTTTAAGAGTTTGGCTACTTTTATACGAATCTCGTCATGATTCATTGAAGTGACTAGTATTATTATTCTATATAAAATAAGATCTAGTGCAAAATATATTAATAAGAATGAAATTTTATTTATACGAATCATTATAAATAGTTCTTGTAAATGGATATAATAAGAATTCTCTCGTTATTTTTCTTCTTTTACTTGCGATTGCTTGTTCAAATAATAAAAGTTTGCGTTTCGATAA